ATCTGAGCTTCTGGAATAGACAAAGGCCAGCTGTTGCTTAAGACGTCTGGCACTGAACACCACCAGTGGTGGCGTAGTCGTCTTCGTCCATGTAGTAGCACTCATTTCTGTATCTTCTCCTGTTCTCAAAGTCACAGTCCTCCAGGTCAGCATAGATGTAGAGGTCATCGTCCATACTGTCTGGCTGCTCTGCATCCATCTTTTCTGGGAGATAGCGCTCCAGCTCCTTCAGCTTATTTTCGGGGAGGAAATTAGCTTTTGGGAACACCACCTAATGAAACATCCGTAAATAAATTCAGTTGCAGCTCCACAATAGACCATACACGCATATTATAATGCAGAAAAATGCTAACACTATGTTATTTTAATGGTGTCAATGTTTGCAAATATGGGCCTCATCAGCTGCTTTGCTTACTTATGCGTAATTTAGTCATAAAAATATAAAAGACAAAGACCGTAAAAAAACAAAACAAAAAACAATAAATGCCAAAGACATTCTTACCGAGAAGTGAATAATGAGACGCCCCTTCTCAAACGGCCTGCGATACGTGGGCATCCCTTCATTCAGGACACACTTAGTGTCGCCGGGCCTGATCAACTCCCCTGTAATTTAAAAAACAAACAAACAAACATATACAACATCAAAATAAATGAACTGAGTAAGAATGAGTTTGTAGTTTATTTTAACTACTGTACAGTAGAGGTCCAGTGGTCTTGACAAGGTGGCCTAGTTTCACTGTGAAGTACAAGCCACACCAAATGTGGTTTGCTTGGCTGACAATAACATTAGGCCCATTACAAATTAAGTCAATCTAAACAAAAAAAAAATCAGCACTGTTTATTCATATTTTTCAAATAAAATGATTTTAACTGTTCTGGAAAAGGAGGACATCACAATGACACAACACATCTAAAACACGGTTCACATCTCACAGAGAAATCTTTCAAACATCACCTGGAATTATTTTAAAAAGCGCTATGACAGTTTCTAAATTCAATATGTGTTATTCATTGGATGCATTTTTCAATAATATATTCATATCCTCTAAGGCAGGATAATAAAAAACAAAAATAGACCTGAACCTGCTGATGCTACCTCCTTATACATAAGAATATTTTCATACACTAATCTGGTTGCCAATCAAAGTAACTCCCAAAAAGCATTTCCCACTTTGATTTACCTGGATGTGATGTGATGAGGAGAGTTCTGTTGTCCAGTGTCTGAATGGGGTTCTTGAAACCACATAAAGCCTCAACCAGCTGCAACTCCATGGACATGATGAGGTCCTCTCCTTTCCTAGTTAGACAAAAATGAAGACCAAAAAAAAAAAAGAAAAGCAAAAAGAAAGTCAAACGTCAGCCTACAGCATGGACATGGAAATTACTTTTATTTTTATTGCACAAAAGGATGAGAGGGTGATGGTAAAGCAAACTTTGGTTTATCGTCCTAGTTAACATTCAAAACAACAAAAAGACACTTAAGAGCGGCTTATTTTTACCTGGTGAATTGTGCATGGTCTCGCTGATCTAAAACAATTATGATGTCGCCTGGCTCGAGCCCTGGCTCCTGGTCTCCCTCTCCATGTAAAACAATTTTCTGGCCATCTCTCATTCCTGTGTAAATGTCACCAGGTAACATATGTACAGGTTTACTGTTTTCCTTGTTTGCACACCAAACAGATGCAAAAAAAGTTTCACATTTCTCTCACCTTTGTCAATGTGGACCTCCAAGATCTTCTTCTGTCGTAGGATCTTCCGGCCTCCACATGCTTTGCAGCGGTCCTTTTGGCTGATTCTTTTTCCTTGTCCTTGGCAGCTGTGGCACACTGTGGACATCTGCTGTACCATACCTGGAAGTAACTGGTGTACGCGGACTTGCATCCCTGTGCCATGACAAGACATGCACACCTGTACCGCTCCTTTACGACCACCACGACCTGCCAAATGAATAATGCAGGAGAAACAGTTTGGTTAGATAACTTGCACCAGACTGATGTGACGCACATCTCACTAACATCTAAGCAACTTTTTAAGAGAAACATACCTTCACATCTGTCACAAATGGTATTCTTTGGGACAGCAAGTTTTCTTGTTGCTCCATTATAAAGTTCTTCTAGCGTCACTGTAATCTGATGAACAATATTCTTCCCTGGGGGGCAACAAAATTGCACAGTTAGTTATATCACAGATTTCAGCAGTAACACTTAAGCCTGAGATGTCTCCCAGAGAAACCACTAAGACAAGATGTCTGTGAAGGTTTTCAGTCATCCAGGTCATTGTAGTCAAAGGAGCTTGCAAAGAAAGGCGTCTGGACTTCTGGACAGAAATTAGTCGTCGACGATCTCGTGACTAGTTGACTAATCGTGGCAGCCCTAGTCAGCACAGAATTTTTAAAGTTGTTTAAGTTAAAGAGATTTAAGAGGAAGATGCCCCTACTACCATTTCCTCTGTAAAACTTCACCAAAAACAGAAGGATGTTAACTTTGCAAAGCATGGTCCCATCTAGAGCAAAACAGAGCATAAATCAGGCATGCTTTAGGGGCACGTGTACCCGTGACTAACAAGTCTCTTACAGTATGAGCATGAACTTTCAAGCTTTTAAAGACTGTTCTACTTTATCTCAGCTAAAACTATGAGTGCAGACATAATCTTTGTTTGCTTGGCATTCTCTGGCTCTGCCAATTACACAAGTCGGAAAAAAAAAAAAAAAGGTTTTTTAGCTGCATGGGATATTTTTGGTAAATGTTATTGTTTTTACACTGCTGAATCCAAAAACGATCTCCATTTCCCTCCATCACGTACAGATTTTTTTGCAAAACATGAGGAGTTTACATAAAAAAAGCACAACAGTGATTAAAAAAAATCAATTAAAAATGTTTTATTACAATTAACTAAACATATTTTTTTTAAGATTCCCTACCTTTCGCCATGAAGAAAATAACCCTCCACTTACCTCACTCAATTCCTCGTATTTTCTATTTGTATTTCTCGAGTCTCACTCTTAGAAATATTAAATGAATGTAAGAAATCATTATTAGATATGCTTTTTTGACTCAAGTATAGGATACCAGATTTCAGTTTAAAAAGGGAAATTGTATGCTTAATTACACTAAAAACACGAGTTTTGCAAGAAAACATGACGAGATTGCATTTTAAAAATATTTTTCCCGGTTTCAGTGAGTAAAAATCTATAAGAAACAGTCAAAGAATCCTGTGCAGTTTTTAGGTTGCAGACCTGTGTTATCTGTATCATGACTGACCTCTAGTGTAAAAAAGTGTACTTGTGAAAAAAATACAAACTACATCACAATTAGGGGTGGGGGTGTATTAAAGATCATACAGCACCAAGCCACAGTATGATTTAACAGATTCAAACTCTTTGTGTCTGAGTCTTTAGAACCAGTTTTCTTTCATATCGCATCGCATCAGAGAACATATTTAACACAGGCAAACTAAACAGCTTTACATATTATTTCACAGCTATATTCTCTCAACATTTGCCTACCTTTTCGCTCTCTATGCATCCGGCTGCCTCCACCAAAAAACAAGTCAAAGATATCCATGGGTGATGCAAAGCCCCCACCACCTCCACCGCCAGTTCCTCCTTCTTTTATAGCCTTTTCACCTCCCCGGTCATAAATCTCTCTCTTCTTTGGATCTGACAAAATCTCATAGGCCTGTGAGATCTGCTTGAACTTGAAGAAAAGAAAAAAGAGAAGACAGAAAGTGTCAGAAGACATGTGTGCCTCACCTGTTGATGTTAATGACTGTAAGAAAATACTACACACCTTCTCTCCTTCTGTGGGATTTTTATCGGGGTGATATTTCAAAGCCAGTTTGCGATAGGCCTTTTTCAGCTCATCTGGAGTTGCGCTGGGTGGCACACCCAAAGTGTCGTAAAAACCTGTTTCTTTGACCATGTTTGCCTTGAGAAACTGAAATAAATAAATAGAATATTCATAAATAAAATAAAGTTCATAAATGTTCAGCTTCTGGTGAATCTGAGCTGAGCTGGGCTGAGATCTTGTGACCACAGAGGACATTGCATGTGATCTGCATGGACACTACCACCCTAAACTATCAACCTGGAAATACTTCGTGATTAGATGGGAGGTGATGACTCAAACATAAAGCTTGTGGGTCACAATCAGCCCAGCAAAGACTTCAACCTAGCCCACCGGAGAGCTTTAGAAAATGTGCACACAGACGTTAATTTTGGACTTCTAATTGTATTTTCATACGTTCATGGCCATTTATAGTATGTCAGAGTAGTAAGTAACGAACTAAATGACAAAAACGTTCCTGTTTTTTCACCATCTAATACAATTTCTGTTAACAAAATAATTACCAGACATTCAATGACTTACCTTTCCTGTTAATTTGACACATTTCTTTAAGCCTAAAGAGACCTGCTGACAGATTCATTTCACTACAGCAGCATTTTTATTATTTTACTTTCACCAACGTGGCCCACTCAACATCAAACTGGAGTTCACAATGTGAATCGAGTCTGGCATCCCTACTCTAAAGGGTGAAAAAATCCAAACCAGCAACTTATTCCTTATTATCATAACAGAGTCACTAAATCCCTTCACGGGGGGTGGGTGGGGATTCAAATAATTAGCTACCAGTTACCAGCACCGCACAAACACAGCCTCAATCCAGCCCTTTTAAAAACAGTCAGATAACTAGCAAGTCCGACACAAGACCTTTTCCGTTGTAAAAAGGAGCAAAGACCAATAGTGCCTTCGCTTTCTGTCCAGCGTTGAGTAATTTGTTTACTCAACGCTGCCATATTTGTTTTAGAAGCGATAGCAAAACTTGGCGACTCAACTATTTGTAATCTTTTATTAGTGGGAATAAAAGATCACAGTATATTTGAACAAGATGTTTGTGTTCAGTTGGTTTCAGAGGTGTTTCTAAATCAATAAAAACAACTCGGACTGTTGTCGAACGCTCCTTTTGGTACTTTTCAAACATCTCCAGTTACTTAGGTTTTACATAATCCAGTGGTTAAATGTATGCTGTTACATGAGGGGCACAAACTGGGGCTGCTCGGGCCCTACGAGGCTATTTGAGCTACTTAGCCCGGCTAAGGAAAAAAAAAGGTTAGCTTTGTTGTTTTCTCAACTTAAACACCGACCAAAAAATACACATGACACTTGTGATAAACACCGTGTGAACAGATAATTACTGTTTTCCAACCTTATATGAAGACAATGATGTCGCCTCACAACCTCCGCTCACAGCAACTCTTCTAGAAGGTTCTTCTAACCCGCCTCTATCGTAAATGAAAGTCGCGTCCGGTGACGTTTATTTCCTGCGACGGAGCCCCCAGTCACCCAAACAAGCGTGAACTGTTGGAAACAGAAACCCTGGTTGCGAGGCCGAAGACAAACGATGATAAAATGCCACTCTGTTGGCTTATCAGCGAGGAGGGGAATCATAAACCCATCCAGCTCCCTCATTTACAGACTGTTGTGTTGGGGCGAGGGCCAGAAACAACCATCAAAGACAAAAAATGCTCTCGGCAGCAAGGTAACAGCATCTCAGTCTGAAACACTAGCAGTGTTAACAATTAGATAAACTATTGAAGTATTTTTTTTTTTTATCAAAATAAAAAAGAAATATTAAAAAAAGAGATGTATTGTATGACCGCTAAGGTTATGGCCACGTCAACACAGCCTGAGCTCTCTTAGGCAGGTGTTCTTGTAATCTGTTTAAGCGATCTTCAAGAAACCTGGAGAACTATTCCAGGCTTCTTGAATGACATTCAAATCTCTTCTTTAGATGTTGGCCGCCTTTTGTTTCGTTCTCAATCAAGGTGATCACAGACTGCTTTAACAAGGATGATAGCTGATGCTGAAAAATTTAGCTGTTGCCAATCAGGTGCTTTCCAGATGCAAGGTGAATCAAAATGTGATGGTACTTCTCTGCATTCATAATTCCATCAATTTTGATAAGATCTCAGCAACACTGGCTGAAACGCAGACCGAGCCTCCACTGTATTTTACATATGCCTGTAGACATTTACTGTTGTGCTTCTCCTGACCTCCTTCTTACATATTAGCAACAAATTGAACCAAAATGTTTAAATTTGGATTTGACACGCCATAATACCCGTCGCCCTTGATTTTTCATTCCAGTTCTCAACCTGAACTGAAACCCTTTCTCCCCATTTCCCTTCTTTCTTTCATGACTGTCACCTCTCCAGTGAGACCATTTCTGATGAGGCTTTGATTAATAGTTGATGGATCAACTGAAGGGCCGAATGCATTTCTGTAATATTGAGGTTAAGCACTTACTAAGCGTCTTACTGAGCACACAAAGCCAAAACCATACATTAAACTATACACTACAAACAGCGTATCTGCCTCACATCCATGGGTGTATTAGAATCACCACTAACATGTATATCTTTGGACTGTGGGAGGAAGCTGGAGGACCCATAGGAAACTCAAACCCATTTACAGCATTTTAATTGACTTTCTAAACTATTATAAATTTCCCAAAGATTTTATCATTAATATGTGGAAAGTGTGACTTTTGCAAATGTTATCCTTTTCCAACCAGTGGAGCTGAAAGCAGAATGCAACAAAGGTTATGTCAAAGTTAAACAGGTAAGATACTTACACATTCATAATTTGAATATCTATAAAGAGGTTAAACTTTTTCCCATCTTCCACTTTTTACTATATAATCTTACAATCTGTCTTTTATATCCCCATTTTTATTCCAAAGCTGGGCTTAAACCCCACCTCTGTAGACTCCGTGGTGGTCGGTAAAGACAGTGAGGTCAAAATAAAGCCTGGACAGCGCCTTCATATTGTCAATCAGCTTTACCCCTACACTGTACAGTTCAAAGAGAATCCCACTGGCAGCCAAAGTGGAACAAAAAGGCAGCGAGAGTCCAATTCAGAGGACAGAGAGAGCCAGAGGCACTCTCAGAGTATGAAAGCAGACAAACAAACAGAAAGGATCTCAGTGTCAGTCAGTCACGCTGATTCACCAAAAACAAATGTAAGAAAAAAAATGTTTGGATTGTTTTCATGTTTTGAGTTTGAATGAATACATTATCCAGAAGAAACATGTCTCCTAATATCGGTTGCAGGAAAATGCTGGACACTGGAGTCAAGGCCTTAAGACATCAATGCAAGACCCCAAGATGCAGGTAGCCATTCTATAAAAGAGACTCACGATGTGATGTTGACTGGAGAACTGGATTTTGTCTCTAATATCCAATTTTTAACTTTTTTAAACTAGGTGTACAAGGATGACAAAGTGGTCGTTATTAAAGATAAATACCCCAAAGCTCGCCACCACTGGCTTGTGCTCCCGTGGCAGTCAGTTCCCAGCCTGAAGGCTTTGCGCACTGAGCACTGTGATCTGGTGAAACACATGCAGAAAGTTGCTGACCAAATGATTCAACAGCGCCCAGATTGTAGTTCGGTGCAGTTCCGCACAGGATACCACGCCATCCCAAGCATGAGGTAAAAATTTAGACTATATGAAATGATTTTGTGAACTTGGGAGAGTAACTAAACTAAACTAAAAATATGGAGGTAATATGCTTAGACTTAGTCCTTTTACTACAATTTGACTGATGAGGCTTTAGTGGATGTGTTTATTGAGACTGCTATAACAAACAATTAAAAACAACAAAAAACATATAGTTTTAAATTAGAATAAGAATAGTAATAATAATGATAATAATTGTTGGTTTTATAGAGAAGTTTTCAAAATCTACCTTAAAAAGTGCTTCAGAGAGCAGCAAAATAAAACAAAGACTGAATGAAATAAAGAACTACAGGGCAGAATAAAATAAAAATTAAGACCAATAAATGGTAGAGAGAAATTCAGGAAATAAAAGACAGTTCGAAGTCAATTAAAAATAAAAGTAAGCATTTTTTTTTGGGTTTGTTTGTTTAACAGGTAGACACCAACCTCCAGTTAATGTGGTACTCAAGGTTAAAGAAGCTCTGAAGTTAATGACTTTTCAGAGGTTAGGGTTAAGGATTTTCATTCTGACTCAAAAGCTTGTGAAATCAATCACGTGGTCGTTAAAAGCTAAAAAACAAAAGCGACAACAGAATACATTTGGAAGCAATTTTGAAAGGAAATCCTAACTTTCTGGGAATAAATGTTAATTTAAAAAAAATATGCAGACTTCTCTATGCTTAAAATAAGTACATTTCATGTTTACGCTTAGTTTAAATGAACCTTAATTGCTCATCATTTCTGCATTGAACGTTTACTTTTATTTGTCTGTTTTTTATGTTTTCATTTACAAAGGCTCTGATTTTTCAAATTTGCGTTTTTAATGTTTTATCCCGTTCTTCTGATCTGGCTTTAATTTTTCATATAAACATGTAAAACATCTTTAAAGCCATTAAAGAGAAATGTGATGCAGATGTATTATTGTATTTAAAAAATGAATCTAATAAATTGTGGTGTGGTCCCAACGTCTGACACATAAACAACAATCATTACCTTAAAATAACTACTACATACTGTGTGAGTGTCTAGATTCTTCCCACATTATTTTGGAATAAAAGTGCCATGAAACTTGAAGCATAGAAGCTGTTTTGGACATCTGCTGCCATCTTGTGGCTAAGATCTGAAATGCAAACGCTTCAGACTTTACTTTCTAATCTTACACAGGTTTTTAATGTGGCTTTGAAATGTTCAATTCTGCCTTTCAGTCATGTTCACCTCCACGTGATCAGCCAAGACTTTGACTCACCTTGTTTAAAGAACAAAAAGCATTGGAACTCATTTACAACAGATTACTTCATTGAGTCTAAGGGTAAGAACAGTTCTAGTTTATTTTTAACACCTGCTTTGAAATAATTTGGCTTTAGAGCAAATCATTTATACTGTGGACTCAAAATACTTTGTGTTTTTCTTCCTGCAGATGTCATTCAGATGCTTGAAACTGATGGAAAAGTCACTGTGAAAGAAGGCACCAGTGAGTTGTTGAAGCTACCTCTCCGCTGCCACGTGTGTCGCAAAGAGCTTCCCACTATACCGGCACTGAAGGAACACCTGAAGTCTCATTTCTGAGATAACAATGTGACTGTAACTCATGCTCATGCTCTGGGTTTTCATTGATCACATATCTCATGTTAACTTTTTTTTTATAGATTCATTCTTTTGTACAATGTTAAGTTCCTGCAGGTTCCATAATTATTGGCCTGATTACAAATTCCAGAGGTCTTCAATGTTTGTTGCTTTTTAGGGTTTTCCAGTTTAATAGAAAATTGAGTGTCAAGCTACAAAACGTTCAAGGTAAATGCCATCAGTGTAATGCAAGGTCATGGATTTCATTTAGTGTTAATACCATTTCAAACATGTTAAAATATTTTGCAATAAATATTTTCTAAGAACTAAATACTGCCTATATCTTTTCAATTAAAGTTGCGTCTTGTAAGTCCTGCAGTGCATCAAGTTTAGACTGATTTTTAATTCAGATTTACAGAAAACAAAGGAAGCTGTCAATGTATTGTTCTGGAAATGCATTAACTCGCTTTCAGAGCCGGCACAGCTGCCACAGAAATTAACATTTGTTTCAAAAAGTATAAAAGAAACCTTTTGAACTTACAGGTGTTTATATAAGGAAAAATAGCTTGCTGGGAAAAAAAATGTACTGCTTTGATGTGTTGAAATAGTAGCAGACAGTCAAATAACACACTGGTACTTGGAAGAACTTGGTGTACTTTTTCTTTGCTGCTATTACAGTACTCCTTTAGCAAATAACAGATAAAGCTTGCTCAGCCACCTACTGCTAATACCTACGTCTCTGTATTTTGATTCTCATTCTAATTATGTGATTGAGAAATCTGTTTAAACCATTACCAGAGCACAGCCTCTTTACACCCGCACACTCGCAGTATCTCTAGTCACACCAATCATTTGCATATCCTCCTTCACTACATTCAAGAACCTCTTCTGTGGCCTTCCTTCGTGTTCTCCTGCCTCGAAGCTCCATATTCAACATGCTTTGTACAATACATCTCCCTCCTCTGCACATGTCCAAACCATCTTATCCTTGATTCTCTGGACTGTTCAACCTGAGCTGTCCCTCTGATGATCATTTCTAATCCCATCCATCCTGGTCCGATCATCTCAGCATCTTCAGCTCCACCTCTTGTCTTTTTTTCCCCCCAAACCACACATAATAGCAGGTTATGTTGACATGGTCATTAAACAGATTATTGGTGACCTTCTCTGTGAGGAGAACATATTTAGACCATAAATATGGGTGAATTGTCTCCTGGACATTGGCAAACATATTTTGCTGGTGGACAATGTGAATCAACTGGAAATTTCCTTTAGTCTTCACTATGCTTTGTGACTGACTCTGTGCAGTATATCAAATTTTATATTGTATTTATTTTTCCTGGCGTTTTTCCAGATTGTTGTATACGGTTTCGCCCTTTTCCTCAAGAAAGATTACAAAAACGTAATTTGCATTAGTGCACAAAACAACATGAAGATTTGGTACCATCTAGTGGGGACTTTTCATATAAGCCGCGACAGTTTTCGAGATTTGTCTAATGACGAACTACTTCTCCACACGATATTCAGTATTTTTAGTGTGATATCGTCATCAACCAGTACAACAGAAATGTAAAAATAAATTAAACAAAAAAGGCTCTAGTGGCCCGTACGGGGATCGAACCCGCGACCTTGGCGTTATTAGCACCACGCTCTAACCAACTGAGCTAACCGGCCATGTCTGCGGATGAGAAACTGCCATTTATATAGAGAGTCATACATATCACAGGTCGTAGTTTCACATTCGACTACAAGGCAAGTATTATGTGCTAGTATTTCATTTAAGAAGTCTCAGTAATAAACAGCAGTACTCTGCGACAATGCTGTCTTTGCTAGTGATCCGATACCAATAACAATACTTTTAACCTATAAAGGGAGCTTATGTAGGGGAGAACAGTACCTCGTGATTTAGGCTGTGAGATTAGCCTAACCATCATCCATTTGCCAAATTCGGAACATATTTTAATGACCTCTAAATGGCTGTAACAATTCTGTGATTTAAATGTGTTATAGACCATTAATAAAAGAGACGTGATAGTAAACACAAAAAGTTGTTTTCATACTATCGATCAATTCGCCCACCTCTAATATGCAGGACTGCATTTTGCTTAAAAATGTATTATTGTAGAGGTGGACTCAGCTTAAAATTTTTATTCTTTGTTTATTCAGCTGTCCTGGCACTATTTTTCAGTAGCTAATTGTAATTTTTAGAGATGGACCGATCTGATATTACATATCAGTATCGGTCTGATACTGACCTAAATTACTGGATCGGGTATCAGAGAGAAATCAAAAATGTAATCCGATCCGAAGTATCACAAAACGCGCTACTTGGCGTAACCCAGCTCAGCGCATCGGACCAGTATGTGATAGAGCGGCTGTTGTCTGGAGACCTGTCAGCGTCTGTTGGAGCATTTGGAGCTGCTACATGCTTCCTAACCCCAGCATTTCATCTCGGCGAAAACTATCCCACAGAAGTAAAGCAAGTGTGTAAGTTCATCCCTGAATGTTTGCATAGTATTTCCGCATTAAGCTTAACAACTGATATATTGAGCCACAGCTGGACTGGTCATTTGAGTTCCATGTTGAGGTGAAAAGGGAGCGATTTGTCCCGTACTTCAGCTAGAATAAAAAAAAAAAATAGACACAAAGCTGGAGTTATTCTGTCTTTGCAGCGCAGTTGCATCTACTTCTCTCATTCACTCCCCCTTCCTCTCCTGTTATTACTTCAAACATGAAACTGATCAATGATCAGCTGATCGGCTTTTCT